GGTGTTTGTGCCCAAAACCTTGCAATTAAAGATTTTTTTCCCAAAAAACTAGTTGGTCTAATAAAAGATATCATCTCTACCCTGAGTCCTGAATGCTTTTTATAAAGCGCACGCATGCATGCATGTATGCATACTGTAACAACTACAGTACCATAGAAGAAATTAATGCAGACTTCACATAGTGTTCCTGCTGCACCTAGAGCTCCCCCTGATTTCGCTGGCAATTATTAGCTGACACCAGTAATTAAAAGAATTCTAAAGAAATGAGCAGCATTTCATGCAACATTTGATCATAAGGAACAGAAAGAAAAATAAGAAAAAAAAATAGTATGCATTTCAACTTCATTTTTTCCTAGAAAAAAGTAACTTAATCTGGAGCCTTTCTCATACTGCCTGCATTAAATTGGTCTCCATAGTTACACTATCTGGTGACAAGCAGACACTGTGCCAGTGCCAGCCAACAGTTTAGTGACCTGAGCACAAGCTTGTTAGAACAAGGTTTTTGCTCTTGAATTGTTTTTCTGTTCTTGGTATTTCTCTCCCTATCACAGACTAAATTTTGGGAAACGTTTCAGGCCAGCTATTCATGGTTCCATGCAAGTATCTGAGTAAACTTTCAAAAGTGCCCTTAAACTGAAGCTGTTGAAGTAGCTGGTTGCATGGCAGTGACACAGCAAAACATTGCTGGCATTCCAGTGAACACATGCAAAATTCTGAACTTTTTTGTTGAATTTGCTGACTTGAATGTATGCAGCAGCACTGACTTTAAGCCATGTGTCTGACAGCCTCTAACTATGACTAGTCTTATCTAAACAAATTCTTGTTGTTTGTGCACTGAGATCCTACACAAAAGCTGAGGATTCACAACTCCTTTCGCAGAACCTCTCATGCTATTGTAGCATCCAGAGAGCAGCTCTGAAAATGGCTAACTCCTGTATGTCAAAGTGAGTGTCCCAGGACATAGACAACTTTGAGCTTCTGCCTTCGTTTAGGGTGGCAGGTGGATTTCCATCCACCACTTGCTAAGGTGCACAGCCTGTGATTTAGCTGTAAGGAATTGGGCATGTATACAACGTGTCTATCCCCTTGCTCTTCACAATTCCATTAACACAGTTTATAGCTGTGGCACTCAACCTTGAATCTGCACTGACAAAATCAGATTAGAGAGAGCCATAAAATCATTGTGGCATGGAGTCCTGACTTTAGGTTGTGATGCTGCCCTACTATAAAAGGTGTCTCTCCTCTTATCTCTGCTACCCAGTTCTTGGCTGCGGAGGTGGAAGCAGCTTGGATGGTTTTCCTTGCTATACTTCTGAATGCCACCAAGGTGCTTGTAGGGACCATAGTTTTGGTTCTACTTTGTTGGCTCGCTTATTATGTTATATATCAAGGGACACTCTCATAAATATAGCAATGTTCATTTTGAGTATTTTCATGAGTGCCCCAAGAGATGGATATTGCAGTCAAAAAAATTGCATGTATAGAATGGTTTAGAAATGGCATCCATGCAGGGCGTTGAGTGCCTGGCTGCAAATGGCCCACACGACCTTATGATTATATAACTCTTGACTTATGGACTGACTTTTAGAATTGCAGTGGGCTATGAAGAAGGTTGCTTCTGTTACCTTGGCACCAATTTTATTCAAGGACTCCATAATGCTAACCTCCCTCCCCCACCCCAAATAGCAACAGTTCATGCCCCCAAGGGTTGATGATTTAAGATTTAAATAATCCTAAAATATACTTCCTTCTATAGAGTGGATTTGATAGTAGTCCGTGGGCATTACTACAGTAAGTAGTAATGATAAAGAAATGGAATAATCCAACCACAGAATGGTTCAGATATTTGAAAGCTTGATTAACAATTACATGTTGAAAGATTCTGTGAGAGGAGCAGTTTACAAGGACATATCTGAATGAAGAGATGGCAGGCTGTATGTTTAGAGCAGTTGTGTTTATCACTGAAGTCAATGGAAATTGAATGTTCTCTGCTCTCTCCGAGCAGCACCGAGCTCCTGACGTAGTGAGATCCATTAGGAATTAGCATACAGTAAAATTTATAAACAAAGATACTGGGGAAGTAACTTTGAAGGAGACTTAGAGACCATAGAGAAGGAGATGAAAGAAGGATGAAATGGAGTTCAGCAGCTGTATGGATTCTTGTCTACCCAAACTTGCTCTAAGATTAGTTTATACTAAAATTAAATATTAACATTAAAGATTAGCAAATTATGGCACAGCGTCTGGATTCCTTCCCTTCTCTGAGAGCTGAAGTAAGAAGGAGAATTACTGTCACCCAGAGAGTAAGAACTGTCATCAGGGCACCCAGAAAATGTTGTGGTATGCCTCAAAGTCCCGAGTAAAAGAAGGGGGATGTAATTGGAGTATGTTATAAGCACATGTGTGTAACTACTGTTCTAGTACAGCATAGGCCATAGAGGCCAGACACCCTCCGCTAACTTCAGCCTAGTGATAGAGTGGGCAGCAGTATCCAATAGACTGTCTTTTCAGAGGCTACATAATTTAATAGAACTTGGCCTATAATACGCCAGCTTTACTCGCATTGGTAGGCACTTATTCAAGTGAGCTGCAAGGAGAGGAGAATGCAGGGCATGCAAAATCATATATATTCTTGGAACAATGCTGGGTTATTGCAGAAAATGCCACAACATATTTTAGCACCATGCAGCCTGTCACAACCTACAAAGCCTTTTCAGACAAAACTCCCACTGACTTAACAAGAGTCTCCTCTGAGTAAAATCCACAGAATCAACATGGTTTTCTGTGGGGTAGATTTGTCAGTAATACTTCTATACTGCTTGAATCTTACTGAGTCTGTTATGATTCTTTAATGTCACTTGCAATTAAGTCTTTCACTACATTAAAACCCTACGGGCTTGATCCAGCACTTGAAACTAGGACTGTTGGCTCTCAGTGAGAGGAAGCCTGTCCTTGGGGGAACTGCAGTGGCTGTATACCCTCCAGCTCTGATTTAGCAGGCCCTGCAGTGTCCCACAGAATAGGTGGATCTAGTCAAGGAGAGAACCGATGGAATACATATGAGATGCTCCAGTGCACCTCTGTAGAGCCCCAGCCATAAATGTAAAACTGCTTTTCTCTGGTAAAACCCTGTGTAAGGATGGCTATAGGACCATAACCTCAGTTCTTAAGCAATTAAACAAATTTATCTAACAACTGGTCTACAGAATATAACATATAGGGTGTCTGTTTGTAAGTACTCATTAATTTTATTTTTCAGGCTTTATTTTAGGCAGGGGTTTTTTTGGTTATATGTAGATATCCCAAAGTTGGAGGTTTTGAAATCTTTTGTTTGTTGGAAGATATTTTTTTCTTCCAGCACTCTTCCCAAAATTCTTGTCTAAATAAGATTTGCCTAAATTTTTATAATATTACATTTTTATCTATTACATTTTTATTATATTAAAAGACTTGGAGTACCATTTGAACTTTGCATCATTGTTCTTGAATCCTTGGCTTAACATGTAATGCATCTTCCTGGCACTAAATCTACCCTGCTTTTACAGCACACATTTAGGATGAAAAGCAGCTATAATATTTAATTAAAAAGTAACTTGAAAGTATGTTTAACATTAACTAGCAATTTTGTTCTGACATATCACATATTGTAGCTCTGTGGTACTTGCACAGTAGCATTTTCTTGTATTTGCTGCCTTCTGCAATGAAATCCTGATAATCATAGACCTGTTATTCTGAGAATTTTGCCTGCCAGGGTTTTGATGGTATGTTGCTTTTTTTTTTTTTAATTGCTTCTCCAGTTTTTCAAAATCTTCCATATCAATGAAGTGTCCAAAGAAATGCAAGCATTTGCAGCCACTTACCTCAAGTGAATTTGTGCTGGCTATGAAGGAGGGAGCAGTGTAAACAAACTGTGCCGGGAGAGGAATGGAGTCAACACAAAATGAGCAAATGTTTCTGGGTTTTGTTAGTGTTTATTAGAGAGAGACTGATTTTTTTTAAATGTGTGTTTCTATCGGTATTTTCCAGTTAAAACCTAAAATCAGTCACGGTAATATATGCTCTAGAGCAGGGGTAGGCAACCTGCGGCACAAGTGCCAGAGTGTGACACACGAAGGTGTTTTGTTTGGCATGTGCACCTTGGGGCAGATGGTGGGGAAGGAGCCAGGGCTGTGCTGCCACACCAAGGATCGAGCCCCTTGCAGCCAGTCTGACCTTGGCATGCCAACATCTTTACAAGTTGAGGTTACCGGTGTTTTTGACACCCCGTCCAAAAACATTGCAACCTCTACTCTAGAGTTTATATATTTAGTATGCTGTGATACTACACAGTCATGGTAGTCACCCACTGCAGTCAAACATGCAGTCTTGCAGCATTCTCAGTTGTTTAGGGTGTGCACCATACATGCTGTTTTAGCAGAGATTCAATAATGGCTCAGAAACCAAGCAAAGAAACACTGCAAAACTCACTTTGACCTGGTTATGTTTGAATCTGGGGACATCCCTTTTTAAATGTGATCGTTTCTGTTCCATCTTTGTGTTCAGGCTGGGACTGCCTGAAAATATATAGTATTTACATAGCTGTGTCATTAGACTTGGTAAAAACTGTTTTGTTTCTTTCTTACTGCTTCTCCTCTTGGAATCTGTGAGAGTTTGGCAATTAAAAGGGAGCAGAACTGAATCCTTATGTTTTAAAAGCTAATGCAATTGGAATAGAGTTTGACATCCCTGTCAAGAGGACTGTAGCTACTTGACATAGTTTAGCAAATCAGTAAGATTTCCATTAGGTATAATACAGAATTTTACAAACTGCGACTTTATTAATTTTTACATTTGGTGTTTTTGGTTCTTTTTTTTATTTACATTGACATTATAAAGAATACCTGTTTTATTGAGATGGAAGTTGCTTATAAGGACCACAGTGCATGGCATAAAATGCTTCCCAACATAGCTAAGCTTTCAGTTTTCTGTGGTTTTAAACTATCTTTAAAAACCGTTTGATAAATTTGCTTTGTATGCAATTGTTTAATCTTCCATTTTCTTCTTTCTAGGATTGTGATACCTTTTGTAAAGACCTGTCTCATGGTCTTACCTTCAGTGCAGACTCTATGGAAGAGCATGACAGATGTTCTTATTGCACCATTATGCCAGAGCATGGGCCGTTGTTTTGCTGCAGTCAATATACGCCTGGACCAAGAATAAACATCAGGAACACAATACTGCTGTAATCTTAAATGGTATTATACCTCTTTGCTAGTGTAACATAAAAGCACTTACTGTTCATTCCAAAACTGTTAGGATAAAAATGGCTGGTTTAAAATGGGGACACAGAGTTTTTCTGAAAATTATTTACTTTTCAAGGGATCAATTTAAGATAGACTAGATAATTTTCTTACCTGTTTTAACAACAAAAAATATGTGGGCTATGTTGGCAACACTTTATTTCAATGGTACATTGATTGTCAGATTTCAGGAGAATTCCTGCAGAAGTATATGTAAACTCCCTAATAGTAGCACATTAAACTTCTCTGACTTTATTCATACTGCAAATACTAGTTGCTGTATTTTCTTGCATATGCCCTGCCCTGGAATATAACATATATCATGTTTCTGAAAAACTGTCATGAAAGAAAAAACCTTACCTTTAAGTATCTGCATAGCAGCTGCGAAGGAGCCATGCCTGTTCTTGAGCCTGCTGCCAGCCCCACCACCAAATGGGGACTGAATTAACCCAGTGCATGGGCCTGACCCTGCATGCCAGGCCCAGAGGTAGTGTGCTTCTGTACTGGATAGAGGTAGCGTGCAAGTCCACATCACCTAGTTGAGGTGCTCTCCACAGGTCCAGAAATTTGGTGACAGGGGAGCCATGGAAATTAACACTACCATTGCTTCCTCACTGCCAAATTTCTGAACCCCTGAAGATCCTTATACCTCACATATATGTTCACCCCAATTTCTGCCAGCCGGTTTGGAGGGAGAGCAAGGTGCAGATTATATGCAAGAAAATATGGTAATTTAGTAGCAATGTGACACAACCCCCCATCTAGGGTTTCACAATGACTTCAGTGGCATGAGACTACCATGGGTGTCACTCACACTGTTCAGAATTGTGTACGGAGAGAGAAATGCACAGTACTCAGCAGCAGGAACTGGGCATGCAGCACTGTGAGGAAAAGGAACCCTATTCTATTGAAGCGCATGGGAATTATTAATTTACCTTCTTGTTGTTGTTCAATCTCCCACGAGATTCTCCCAGAAGTTTACCTCTTAAAATAAGGTGTTAGTTTAATAGGCTGGGACAATCAACTAATCTATATATTTGTATTTAATGAGACTTTACTGTTGCTGTATATTTTGTACTTATGTAAATGTCACTTTATGGATTTTCCTTGATGCATAATTTCTATAATACTTGTATTCTTGCAAAATTATATGGAAGATATAGGACAGTACAGAAAATGAAACTAGAAAGTTCACTGATGAGGTTGTATAGATCTTTGAAACTACTGCTGTGCAATTCAAGTATACCAAGAATATATTTTTTCATATTTGAGTGTAAAGTGGGGCACATAAATGTTTTCCACCAAGGGAGGTATGCAGAAGTATTGGAAGTAAGTATTTATGAGAATTGTTCATTTTCTGTTAAAAATGGGCTGTGGTAAATGCAGCCCTGCCTATCTTTTGTATTATCAGCAACATTGTGATATTTAAAGCAATTTTTTTTATCCCAGGATTTTGATTAAATAGAAGCTCTTACATATGTCAAGGGGTGTGGCTGATCTGCTTGTCCAATTCTATCCACTTGTTTAATTCACTTTTTTAGCTGGTTTATAACTTTAAAGCCTAACTATAAAGGAACATTTCCCCTATGCACCTAATACAGCTCTGTAAACCAGAATGACATGTATACAAAGGTACATGAACATTATTTTGACCTTGTGATGGGTACATACCGCTGATTTATATAAATATAGATTATCTGGTTACAACTGTTAAGTGTCTATAATATGGTGTATTATGTTCTTCACTGTGAAGCAGTGTCACAGATTTCTTATCACACATGAGGTATGTAATACAATCTAGCCTTTTCAATTTTGTTGGCCACCTTTACTCAGTCTTGCTGTTATGGTTATTCATGTGGCATATTTTAAAAAAAGAATAAAAATAAAATGTTTAAAGTGAACATAGATTCAGAATACATATACAACTTTTTACTAATAAACTAGGAAAAAGAGAATGATGTAAACGAACACAACGCCGGTGGACTTCAGTAGAGTTTTGTGCATTTACAGAATCAGAGCATCTGTCTCTGCATGTTACCTTTAGAACCACTTTTAAAACTTAACACATCAGTGGATCAAACAAAATAGATACTCTAAATCAGACTTCTCACTGAGTTACTTTGGCTACATGACACATTTTGTTGTTTTTTTTAAAAGGGTATATACTTTATAACCTGTGAAATGTAAATTTATTTGCAGAAGAGCTACAGAACGCAGTCATTTGCCACTCCTGATATAAACCTGTGAAAAAGTACTAAATGAACTAACATTGTATATTCTTTATAGGTCAAAAACCCACTTATTTCATATCTAGTAATTAGAGCTGGGCTCAAACTAAAGTTCTCAAATTGCACACTTTAAAATCTGCATCTTGAGACACAGTTGGTCTTGATTAAACTTTGTCAGGAATTGTTTTCTTATAAAAATTACAATGCAAGTCCTTTGTTCAAAATGTCTTGGCTTTAAAAAAAAATAAAACAAATATTATTGCGTATATAACAAATAAAACAAAAACGTTAATTCTTTTTAAGAACCCAGACATTTTTACACAGATATTTTTTTACAAAACTGTCTTATGTGTGGCAAAAGCCAAAATGTCAAAAAACATTTTGATTAGCTCTGTTTTCTATCCCTAAAATGCAGTGAGTCAAAAGGCCTTCAAAGAAGGCACCAAACTTCAAGAAAGCTCAGATCTGAATCCAAACTTTGTAACTAAGGCAACTCCCAGGTGATAAGCATTTCACTTTGTCACACTACCGAATACATCCGTTCTGAATAATAGTTTAACCTCAGTACGGCTCTAAACTACTGAAAAAATGTAGCTGATATGATTTTTTTAAAATTTAAAATGTAGCCTGTATTTACATTATTCAGCACTAACTTATTCTTCCATATTATTGTAAATAAATCACAAAACACAAGCACTTTCCAATTAGAAACATCTCACTATGGAAACTGTATGTTATCAGTTGTTGGTTTCTTTTATCTGGCCAGTCTCTTTCTCTGGAACAGGTATACTTTGTTCTAAAATGTTGCCTCCATTGGCTTAAGAAGAGTATTAGATTTTTGTGAAATAAAATATCTATATCTGCTAAATGTTTTAAGTGACATATTCTCAAAAGAACAGAAAGACTGGCAGTTTTTATCTACATCTTACATAGATCACATATGGTGTTATAATTTTCATTGGCTTTTCATAGATGTTAGAGCTGGAAGGTCATCGAGTCCAGCCCCCTACCCAGGGGCAGGAAGTCAGCTAGGATCAAAGGATCCCAGCAAGATAAGCATCCAAATGTTTGTTGAATGAGTCCAGAGTAGATGCCTGCACCACTTCTGGAGGGAGTCTATTCCAGACCTTGGGGGCTTGGACAGTAACCAAGTTTTTCCTTATGTCCAGCCTAAAACTGTCATGGAGAAGTTTATGACCATTGGTCCTTGTTATCCCTTGGGCCCCTCTGGTGAACAGACGTTCCCCCAGATCCTGATGCATACCCCTTGTAGGCAGCCACCAGGTCACCCCTGATCCTGCACTTTTCCAGGCTGCTTTTGTTAGACAACAATGGAAGTAAAAATGGAACTGTGTTTCTACCTTGAGATCTGTCTGCATAAGAAGTCATGCTTATTGTGGCAGTGCTTGAGTGGTGTCAATCTTAAGGTTATATGCATGGAAGTCTGCATCGAGCTTAAGTTATGGAAAAATAATTCTTGCTGTATGAGTATCAATTCAGCAATTTTTACAACTATGAACTCAAAATTTGAAAAGCTGTGAGGAGGATGAACAAAATAATGACTTTGAGGAAAAGAAAGAGTAAAAATGATGGCTTAGCTGAAAAAATAATACCCTTCTAAAATTTACATAAAAAGGCTTGAAGCATGTTCCAGCTACAAATATCTTTTAACTCCCCCAAACCATCCACTGCCCCAGAATACACACCTTCCACTACTTTCATACCCATCTCTTTAGGAGGAGTTACTATGTCTGCTGCTTTTCCTTTATGCCTTGTAGAAAAATCTGTTGTCAAATGCACAGATTGTTATTTGAAATAATTTGACTTCCATGGAACTACTCAAGATTGGTAACTGTATTCAGAGAACAAGCCGAGTATTCAGGAGACCTCAGTTCAAGCCCTTGCTCTATCATAAATTTCCTTTCTTAGTCAAGTCTTGAAGGTGCTGTTTAAAATAGTCACAGTTGCAGTTTACAGATGGGAAACGAGACAAACAAGGGAGCGGTCAGAGCTTCAACCTTGTTGACTTCAAAAGATCTATGACAATTTATAACTGCTGAGAAGTTTCTGCAGTGTTTTTTCTGTGCCTTTTTCCATTAGTAAAATAAGAATAATAGTATTTCCCTCCATCATAGGACAATTATAGAGAAGCAAAATTGTGAGATACTCAGATGTTATGGTAACTAGAGACAGACAGACCTTTAGGTAGACACTTATCTTTATGAACTGTAGATGAGGGTTTATTGTGGAAAGTACTCTTAGTGCCATGATTTCCATTTAGAAGATACTTCAAAATAAACCATAACAAGATTTGACTTTATTTTTTAATCTTTCCTTTAATGTCCAATCTTTCCTTTTAAATTGTCTACTCACAATACTTAACACTGTCCTTTTAATCTGACTTTTTCAGAAAATGTCTTGTTGGCATTTATAATGATCTTTATACTTGACTCTTATCTTTCCCCACCCTGGCTCATTAGAATAATTGTGTGAGTTTGAAAAATATCCCAAAAGAAACTTTAATTTATGACTAAATAAGATCTCTCTCCCACCCACATAAGAACACTTAGGTGCATGCACTTTTCTTTCTTTTTTTTTTGTTCTTTTTTTGGAGACAGCTGAGAAGTTTGGACACCCCTGCAGCTTTGGGGCACTGGACCACACACTCACATCTAGCGGAAGCCAAAAAATGGTAACGCCATTATTTTTACTGGGTGTGATCTTTTTCCCACCTGCAGAGAGAAACTGTTGCTGTAAAGTTATATGAACTTTGTTTTCTTAAAAAAAATACATTGTTGGAAAAATGAACAGTTTTTGAGAAAAACAAATGCAGCAAGTTCAAACACTGGACATTTTCTACCAAAACCATGCATTAATAGGTTGAGCATATAAAAGTTAGAATTCACTCCACTCCAAATAGCCAAAGTGAATATACTCAACTTGAGATGATAAAAGACATGGGGAGTATAGTGCAGTACACAACCTCAGTGTTGTAATTAAATCTCATGTTATAAGTTAATTTATACTTATTGATTTTGGACCCAGAAATGGCAAGGCTCCTTCTGGTCATTGGTTGAATAAAATGAACATGATTATGCTACAGATGTTTTAACACAAAGGCATCTTCCCTCCAAAGATCCTTTTACTTAAATAAATCTCCAGAAGCAGCTATGAGGATTTATGTTACTATTGCATTGTTTTTAGAGAAATACTGGTCATGCTCACCAATTCTTTTATACCAATGGCCCAAACCACACAGTTTGGCACTATAAAAACTCCCCCCTGAACTCGAAGCAGTGTTCATGTAGGACTGTACACAGGGTAACTGATCCTGACACTGCAGTGCCAATTAGCTATCCTGCAGTCCTAAACACGTTCTGAAAGTTACTTCTAGTTCAAGAGATGGCATGGTTACAGCTGTACAACCTGTGAGGATGCAGTTACCTTGCACAACATGTTTCTGGTGCATACATGCTCAAGGAGTAGTTACTTGGATACAAATAGGCAAGAAATACAGATTCACTCTAGACAACTTATCTTCTTCCCACTGAAATCAAGAGGAATATGGGGAACTTTTTCAGTGCTCCAACGGCTGGCAATTGGAGGTAGGCAAACTGAAAACAAGGTGCGCATAAGGTAATCAGTGATGGAACAAATGAAGTCATGAAGTCATCACTCAATTACTTTTAATCAAGACTGAATGTCTTTCTAATACTTTACTTTCTTCAGAAGTGATGGGATTTGATGCAAAAAAAATATTCTACTGTCTGTTATACAAATTAGACTACATGATACCCACAATCCCTTCTGGCCTGAAAATCTGAAACAGGATGAATAAAACATGACATATATAGTGAACAAATCACAGTGCTTGATACCACATACCAATTTGAGCAGAGCATCAGAGATGATAAAAGCCAAGTAGAAGAGATATTGGGCGCTAAGGTACTTAAAGTATATGATTAGTTTGATTAAAACTCTAAACTATAAAGCTATCTTATGTGCTTTCTCTTGTTCATCAAATTTGTTAGTACTGTATATGTTTAGTTATTGGTAGCTACTATTTGGGAGGAATCTGGCCATAAATTACCCATATAGTCCATAGAAGAATGATTCCCAATGAACAGATACACTTGTGAAACTGTTACAACCCAGTCTCTTAAACTGCTGTTTAGAGAGTTTTGGAGGACTGAGGAGGACTGAGGAGTCATTCTTGGTATCTGGTAATCTAGTCATGTGCCCCAAACCCTTCACCTTAATATGAACATGCTTGCTTGATCTAAAAACATTTTCTTTAATTCTACATTTAGCCTTCAGACCTGAGTAGGTTCCTGTCATGTTTTATTATGTCTTTAGATTTTTTTTTCACACCACAATGGGCCATACAGAATCATAGAAGTTAGGGCTGGAAGAGACCTCAGGAGGTCATCTCTTCCAACCCCCTGCTCACAGCAGGACCATCCCCAACTAGATCATCCCAGCCATATAATCGCAAAATAAATCATGCTGATTGCAGAGCTCTTGCTTAAGCATGTTGTGTCTATGGACACTACGTTTAAGTTACTTTGGTTGCTTGGCTCTTATGAACAAAGTGACATTGGTGGAGGTAGAAATTACTTTCACCCTTCTTATCTGTACAGAGATAGATACAACTCAACAAAGTCGTTAGCATT